ACATCTTTTACCTGAGAAGCAGCCATTTGGTCGTGGTCCTGATCAGGGTGTGGGTTGTTTTCTCAGGTGACAATATGTAGGAGTCACAGAAATGTGCCTTCAAAGATGTCAGCACAGCCCTGTTAATCAGCTCAGCTCACACTCACAGTCAGAAGGACCTGGAAATGAGGAAAAGGCCACCCCTCCTGTCCTTGGTCACAGCAGAGACAGGAACAATGAGCTCCTACATGGAGACCACACTGTGAGGTATTTTATTTTGTCTTCATGTGTCTCTCCTCCCAAAGACACCCACAAACTCCTACAGAAATGAGGTGAGTTGCTGTCCTGATGCCGGAAACCAGAGCACCCCCTTACCTCCCCCGAACAAAGCCTGCTCCCCACTCTCACAAAGGCATCCTGCACCCCTCCTGTTAATCCCCGTCCTCACCTTCCATCACCTGGAGGCCCACAGTCACCAATGATGCCCCACCCAGAGCAGCTGTCCACCTCCATGGGGGAAAGTGCCCCTGAGGGCATTTCTTTAAGCTCCTCAGGGGATCTGAGAAGACCAAGAGGATTTATCTCAGGATGTTTTCAAATAATAAATAGTCAGACATAGAAAAAGTAAATCCACAGAACACACACACACCAGACAGCAACAAAGCTAAGGATTTAAATAGTCCTGAAAAAAGGATCAAATTGTGACAGACACAGGTCACTTCCTCTGCATCCCAGGAAATGACAAGGGACCCATGACCAACAGACAAGTCTCTCCCCTCTGAGTGAATAATGGTTGCAACTGGAAACAAATCATTATAAAATTCCCAAGCCTTATAAGCTGCAGATTTAGAATTCTCATTCAATCTGTATGACTAAGACAATCCAGCTGTTAAATGTAAAAAGGCACACCTCGGCGGCATAACTCAGTGACCTAGATTCCTAGTCAGGGCATATGGTCAGGTTGCAGGTTTGATCCCCAGTGAGGGGCTTGCAGGAGGAAGCTGATAAATGATTGTCTTTCCTCATTGATGTTTCTAACTCTCTCTCCCTCTCCCTGCCTCCTGGAGATGAACAGATATATATATATATATATATATATCCGCAGCCGATACATCACAACTTAACCATCCACAACCCATCAGCTCACCCCTCACCCAGATCAGGGTCCCCTCCTCCCACTACATGTATTTCTGTCTGTGGATCTGTCTCTGTCTCCTGCTCCCTTTCCCTCCACTGTGGTCCTTTCCTGTGTCCCCCCCTCTCTCCTGCTCTCTCCCCCCTTTTCTCTCTGTCTGTCCTACACCTGGACCATGAAACTCCTGAAACCTCCTTCCCTTCAGGGGCTCTTTCTCCTGGTCTCTGAGGCTCCATCTCCACACACGTCTGCGTCTTCCCCTCCCCACGCCCGCGGCCCCTCTGCTGCCTGTTCCCGTCTGTCCCGCTCCCACAGCTGCTGACTCAGGGCTGCTCCCTCTGCTCCCTCATCCCTGAGCCCCCCTTTCTGTCTCTGCACTCGCTCCCCAACTCTTCTCCTCTGAACCCGTGTCTCTGTCTCAAGTGCCTCCTCCTGTGCGGGCCCCACTTCTGCTCCCCAGGACCCGCTCCCTCTCAGCCTCCCTTCCTCTCTCTGGGCTCCCCCTCCTCCCTGTGTCTCCACTTCCTTC